AATGTTTTCCTTGAATAAAGAGAAATTGCTCTACATACTTTGGAATCACACAATTTTTAAAATGCAAAGATATTTTACCTGAATAATCAAAAGGATTGATTCAGGTTAACAAGTCATGGAGTGGTTTGGGTTGGAAGGCACTTAAAAAACCATCTTGCTGCAACCCCTGCCATGGGCAGGGACACCTTCCCCTATCCCAGCTTGCTCCCAGCCCCATCCAATCTGGCCTTGAACACTTCCAGGGATGGGGCAGCCATGGCTTCCCTGGGTACCTCACCCAGAGATCCTTCCCCACCCTCACAGGGAAGGATTTTTCTGTATATTTAACCTAAATTTCCCCTCTTTCAGTCTGAAAACAGTGATACCTAATGAATAAATACACATCTGAAGTAGGAAGCTACGATGTGAATTCCTGTTTCAGGTGAATTTTGCTGCCTGGATTTTCCACAAGGCCTCTTGGGAACTATCCACATATTTGATAAGATAAGYTGTGTCCAAGGTACACAACACTTTAACCATGAGCAAACAGCTGTGGCCGTGTCAATGATTAACTTCACCAGCACCTATTTAAGTCCCAGAAATAAAGAGCTGTTACAGAAAAACCACAAGGAAAAAGGGATATAAGACAAAACTTCTGCTGCAGCAAACCTGAGGGTTTGCAGAACATCCTGGGACACCCAGTGGGCATGGAAAACATTCCCTGCCCTCACCCTGGCAGCAGGACACTCACGTTATACTGTTTTGGTGCAGTGTCTCCAGGGTGGTGTTACGGTCTTCCGTGGTTGCTCTTTTATCCATGTTCCGGAAGCGTTCCATGGCAGAGATGTTGCGCTGGATGCTCTGTTTGGGAATGTCTAGTTTGGAAACGAAGGTCAGCAAGCCACGGTCGTCACAGTTGAATAGCATCGGGCAGCAATCGTGGCCCTGCAACCAAACATCCATCAGGAAACATCAGCATTCTCACCCTGCCCTTCCAAAATGCAAAACATGGCAGAGCTTGTTTTTTATTAATATTATTATTATTATTATTAACTGTGCAAAATATGGGGTTTCCTCCCCCTCCAAAACAYGACAAAGCTCTACAAGGAGGAAATAGCAGACACTTACAGCTGCCACCACGCTGTTCTCAGAGACAAAGGACACGCTCAGGAGTGGGAGGAACTCTGTTTTCAGCTGCGAAACCCTGAGCACAAGAACATTTGTTAGAGGGATTCACTGAAACCTCTCATTTTCRGCTCTAACAAAAAATAGGCACTGTTCGTACATAAGGATGATTGGAAAAGTCAGGGTAGCTCTGTTGTCCTGTAGTGACAACCAGAAGGTTGTAATTTGTAACAAAAAAATTTAGCTTAATGAAAGCCTGCTAGAAGATTTATGACAAAATGAAGTATTTCTGGTGAAAGGCTGAAGTTACCAAAACCGTKTGTGAACAGGGGCAAGAGTTTAAAAGGAATACCCCCATAAATGTCACTGAAGGATTCTTACAAAGAACCTTCTTTATATAATATTTATACTACCCTTAAAAAGACTCCTGGAATCTACAGTAAAACTGGCAGCAGAGGTGCAAGCTTGTGAGCACAATATTCACCAGAATCATGGAATCATTAWGGTTGGAAGAGACCTTTAGGATCACAATAAGCAAACAACACCAGCAAGGGGATACTCACATCATGTTTTTGGAGGCATCAGCCACTGACACGGTGCTGTCATGACTGACCCAGGCCAGGCGGTTCCCACTGGCAGAGAAGCTCACGCTGTGCACCCATCCTCCGCTCCCTGCGCCCCCAAATTCAGACATCAGCTGCCCAAAAGGCATCTTGGAGCCCCAGGGTGTGCTGGCTGGTTTTTCATCCACTTCCTTAATGTAAGCAGAGAACACCCTGCAAATAAAAATATTTTGGTGTGAACAAAGTGAAAATAAATCTCCTGGGAGCATGGGATGCATTTCAYGTTGGAAGTGGAGAAATGAGTCCCGATTCTCCCAAAATAAAATATTTTGGTGTCTTCAAACAAGAAGCCTGGAAGCAGCAGTGTGCAGAGAAAGGAGGGGGTGTAAAGCACACAGGTTTCTCATAATTGCTGTTCTTGTAGCCCTCTCCCTTTTTTCCAGAAGATGGCACAAAAATACACGTTGTCAGTGCATTTTTCCCTCGTGCCAAGATTTCCCTTTCATCCTTTTGCAGTGCTAACAGCTCTCCGGAGTCAATCCTTCAGWTACAGAGAACCCAGGAATGGCACTGTATAATTAGAAGCTAATACAAACACCTACAAAATTACCCACTTTTTAAGAACATTCCCATTTTAGCAGGGTTTCAAAGAAAGAAATGTGATGTTCCAATGCCAGCAAAGGGGCTSTGAGCCACCTTCTTCCAGCTCATTATTGCAAAAATGCCTTGAAAACCTTAAATACTGCAATGTTTTTATAGTTTTTTTTTTCCCCAGCACTACAATTTTCAAGATATGTTTAAATAGAAAGCCTCCCCCTTTCATCAAATTCCTTCTGCATGATTCAGACATGCCACAATATGGTGTTCTTGACTGTTACCATGGARTTTAATGGGACGTCACAACCATAAGATTTGAGTCCATTGAACAGGAGGAGCAAGGCAGTTACACCATGCTACTACCAGAGGGAAAAAAAATCAGTAAAAATGCAAAACTATGATCAAATATTCATGGTTGTAGTCACACACAAGAAATGAATTATTTTATAGTGAGTTTAAGGAAATGAAGCTCCCCCCTCCCTGTTTTTTACATCTTTTGTATGCGTGGGGTAAGCACTTCCAAAGGTACCTATATTCAGCTTATTCCAATAAAGCTGCTCATTTGAAATGAGAAGGGTTTAACTGCAGCTATATTAGGTACAGCTTTTTAAGGAATTAAGTGTATTTGGCTCTATCAGTTTAAATATAATCTAATGATAAYCCTTCAAAAAACTGAATTTTATGGAGCCACCTAAAAGCATGGTTCTCTTAATGTATGGAAATAGGACAAGATGTTTAAAGCAACAGCCTTTGACACAA